GTTTACAGGTAAATATCGAGTAAAATACATGCAGTTATTTTACACATTTTACGTATTTCAGTAATTACGAATTTATTGCATATCTCGATTTCAGAATATATTGAACACATACAGCGGCATGAATAACAAACCCGATTCGAAACCAGACGATGCGTTGTGCGCGGCGCATAAGGAAGAAATTGACACGATTCTATCGTGTCTATTGAATAGCGTAACGAGTAGAACGATAACAGGCTTTGCTAGAGACGCAATAATAGAACTTATTATGCGTAATATTCATTGCGTAACTGCATTAGACTGGGCCGAACGATTTGTCGAACTTCGCGGTTTGCAAAAATTAATGGAGGTGGCCGGTGAAATGGAGGGATACAAATGCAATTCCTCGATGGACATCACATCTTCCACACTAACTAAAACCAGTATGTGTTTGACAAAAATATATGAAAACATGTACTATGATGCTGCTAAGGAAAAATTTATCAACGCCATTGAAGAATTTATTAAAGATAAATTGCTTTCACCTGACACAGAATCCAAGGTATTATTTTCCGAGATTTTTTTTACTATTTGAATTATTTAAAAATAAAGTCTTTTTATTCTAGTTTTTTTAACAATTTAAACTCTTTTTAAAGCAAAAATGTCGAAAAATATTTTTTTACTTATTTATCAATATTGTATATTCTGTAAGTTTTAAATTAAAATACGATTATAATAGAGTTTAGTCGAAATTTATTGAAGAATATGATTTTTTTATCCAGTATTTTTTAAAGCTTAATTTCTTTTAGTTTCTCAAACCAGAAATTTTCCCTATTTTTAATAAGAATTAAATAAAACTAATTGTATTGATATTTCTTTAAATTAATTATTGGTTCACAAAATGTAGAAATTCATAAATTGTTACGTGATTGTTTTACAGGTGCGTATAGTACTTGCGATAACAACTTTAATATTCGGCCCGCTAGACGTTGCGGACGTAATTATCTGTAAAAAAGAAGTTATTGGGTTGATCCTTGCTATGGCGAAAACGGATGACGTACTGCAACAGAAAGTGGTTTGCGAATGTATCGCTGCCGCTATAACCAATTGTAACAAGGGCAACATATTTATATGGCGAGGACGAAATATATTGCAGAACCTGTATTATTCTAAGCATGATTCAATTCGGATTCGAGCGTTAGTGGGTTTATGCAAGTTATCCAATTTCGAAGACGTACTCTGCACTCCGACTATCAAACTGTTCCCACATGGAGCGGCGAAGGAATTGGCCAAGGTTTGCAGACGATTCTTGATCAATTATAAGAAAGAAGAAGATATGATAAAATGGGCCTTAAAAGGCCTGTCGTACCTCACTTTCGACGACGACGTCAAAGACGAGTTGATCGAGGACCAACAAGCCATTCGAGCAATGATGGAGCTCACCAAGACTGGTGATCAGTCGATTTCCTACGGCGTGCTTGTAACGTTGATAAATTTGTGCAACGCTTATGTCGAGGAAGAACACATACCCGAGATTTTAGAATTGATAACGATTGTCACACATCATTTTCCCGAGAAACACCTTGTGGTCGACGACGAAAACGACGCCAGAATAAGAAGAAGACTATGCATGTTAGCGAAAGCCGGTATGACCAGCATTCTAGTGAACCTCTCCAAAACGGAAAGCCGAAATATTAAGGAATTGACAGCCACCGTTCTCAGCGCGATATGCCTTCCAGAGGAAATTAGAGAAATAGTTGTTCAACAAGGCGGCACAAAGGCATTATTGTCATTAGCGCAGGATGGCACATACAAGACAAAGAAGGAAGCTTCGCGAGCCCTGGTTCATCTAGCACACACGTTACCTCCTGAGGTTGCATTTCCTGGTCAGATAATCATGGAGGTTGTTCGGCCGATGGTAAATCTCCTGAACCCAGAGTGTTCCGTTGGCGAGAATTGCGAGACTGTAACAGCTCTGTGCAATCTTGCTCAAGTCAGCGACACCATGAGAGGAAATATATTCAAGGAGGGAGTGTTTCAGAAGATCGAGGCCTTCCTGTACGGGAAACAACACATACTTTTGAAAATGGCGTCTTTAGCACTTATCCGTAATTTGTTATCAAACCATGAAGTCGCTATCCAATATTTCGAGGAGGACAAATCTGGAGTTAAGCATCTTATGTCACTGTGCAAGGACAAGAATCAAGATACTAAGCTCGCAGCAGCTGAAATTCTAATGGCGCTGACGGCGGCCAACAGAGAGGCGTGCAAGAAAGTTTTTGACTCGAATTCCTGGTTGAAATCCCTACGCCTTTTACTCACGAATCCAGAGGAGAGGATACAAGAAAGGGGTATTATAATTGTGGTAAATATGTTGAGAAGCTCGAAAGACGTCGCTGTAAAACTCATTGAAACAGACATAATGAAAATACTGACGGTATTGACCAAAAATGATACCGTGCCAATCAATATCAAGGAATTGGCATCCGTTGCTTTAAAGGAAGCTGCAGATCGATCCGGTAACGAAGAACGTCGACGAGCAATCATCGTCACTATCGAACGGGAATGTGATAGAGCACGTCTATCAGGACAATTGGACCTTCTAAGCCGTTTGCAGAGAGACTTATGGGCATATGAACTTGTTGAGAATGTACCCACCAACGTAGACTCAGAAATCGCAAAAATACTAGAGGGAATTGGACGGCAATGATTTCATGGAAAAAAGGTGGAAAATATTATAATATCAAGATAATTCAGAGATCTTATAATATATTTTTATATTTCAAATAAAATGTTTTAAATAATAAAATAAATGTTGCATTTTTAAATTTCTACAATTTCGTCGTTTGAAACGTAGTTATGCATTCATAATTATATTCGTGTTTGTACATCTTTAAATATAGGATTACTGTGCAGGGCATACATACATAGTTTATTACATAAATTTGCCAAAGTATAATGATATTAATATATTGTACAAAATAATACGTACACGGAAATATACATCACATATATCACTGTGCCGAGCCCACACTTTTGAAAGTCACATGATATGCAGCATTGTTCCTCATTTGCTACCCCCGGTCACGTAAACATTATGACTGTAAACACTATGACTTGTATGTAAGCCGCGACCGATTTGCCCGCAATTTGTATTCTTACCGGTTTATTTAGTCACACTCGTTGAAAGCTCGAGGAAAGTAGAGAAAGTTAGGGTGTTCGAGCAGCAGAACGGAAGAACGTTACGAAGAGGAATTGAGCTATCCGACAGGTAAAGAATTTACATTCTATTCTGTTTCGCAGACGGTTTGAACGAAAATTTAACAATATAACAAAGGCTGTTGAAAATGATGTGAGATACGTTAGTAATAATCGGGAAAAGAAACCACACGAGAGCACACGAGGTCATTAATAATTCAAGAAATGAACAAAGAACTTTAGCTGCATTAAAAACTGAAAAAACGAATACTCGGTTGACGGTATTATAAGTACTTTAACGTAAGAAAAAATGTCGATGGAATGAGATTCATCCTCACGCAAGTAAATTTATCGCGCATCTCAGATAATTCGCTCGCCTTTGTCGGATTCTTTTTCGTCGGGGAAGTTGAATTTCCGTAAAAAACGGAGGAGGGTAAATTGTCTTTGATTCTTGCAGCAAGGCGTATGTACATATATAATTGCATCTATCGCGTTAAGACGAAATCAAATATTTGCATGTAGCGTTATAAGTTGTCTGGATAAGTTTCACATCGTCTGATATGCATAAACAGCTTCTGGAGATTCTGAGAATAAACACTAAATAATTACTTAAATAAATAACTTCTGTTGTTTTCCAATGTTTAACGAAAGTCAACTTTCCAATATAGAAATTATTGCAACAATTGATTGCAATTTATATGCAGGTCACACACTAGAAATTGCATTATTATTGAACTGTGCATTTATCTTTTATCCATTATACATATAAAAGTAATTAGGCCTGTTC